CCGAGTTATCTGATTGCGGGAGCCGGACATCATTGGGATAGCTATGGGATTAAGAATGTCAGCGCTGAGCCGAACTATATCAGAGAGGCGCATTATTGGGAGGAGAGGACTGTGAGTCGATTCTTGAAGTTCTGGGCGGAGAAGGAGCATTAGGTTGGGACGAGCTCAACATAGGTCTTTTGCGTGTAGAACTGTGTACTGTCTGGAAAGTCGATATCAATGACCCCCACTTCCCTCTGAGGCGCTTGGGCGAACGCGGGGTAGTCGAGGACCCTGAAAATGTGACCTGACAGGGGACTCCGCGCTTTTGCATGTGATGCGCCGCGGATACAACCTTATTTTGTAAGTCTTATACTGCTTAAGTCATCTTCCAGGTTCCAACACAACAACAGTCATTGATGCTCGTCATTCCAGCGTGTTGGCGATGTGGAATGATGCGTGCGCGTTTCAATGTCGGTGTTTGCCACTGTGGGTCGCCAGGGGCGCGCTAAGTGGCTTTTGTCACCGCTTGGCTTCATCAACCAGCAGCCTCATAGCTCTTTGCTATACCACCATGCGTTTGTGCCATTGACACTTACCACAGTCTTTGAAGTTGTCGATTCAGTCTTTCCTTTTCAGCACTGCACAGTGCTTGTTTCCTGTTCGTTCTAGCGGGCGCTAGCCGTTGCTATCGTTATCGACACATCGCGACAAGACCAGCACCGAGCGTGTCAAATCATCAACGGAATGGGCAAACTCGCCTTTCCGCTCGACAAAGAGCTCACGGGGCCAGATAGGGTCGTTCTGAATATACTGCAGAAGGAGTACGAGCTGCATGAGGCCAAGCCTGCGGAATCATCGACAGACGCAGCGGAAGACTCTGATGACTCGGGTGTCAAGCATTCTGAGATTGTGACGCCGTCACCAGAGGGTCAGTACTCATTTTGGTCGATAATCAATGCCTCGGAAGCATGCAATATCGATATGCGCTTCTGATGCGACCAATGACTAACCTTGTTCAGATCTACAAGACCAGGAGCAACAGGCGATTGCTTACCTCAAGAAGCTTAATGACCCCAAATCCGACAGCTTCGAGACCAGTGTTTTCAGCTCTGTGGATGAACCCGACATCAAGAACCCTCTTCTTCGCCAATGGATCATTGACCCCTACATCCAATGGGCGAAGAAGGTTGTCCGAGTCGAGACCGACGTTATCATGGTCACGCATCTGCTGCTCTACTTCTGCACCAGCATTCCGTCAGCCGCATACTTGTACATCAATTTCCATTGGTGGCACGCTGTCCTCCATTGCGTCATGCAGGGCTACTACATGGGAGCATACACTCTCCTAAAACACCAGCATATCCATATGCGTGGTGTTCTCAGCAAGAAGTATGACTTCGTCGATCGGCTGTTCCCATACATTCTCGACCCAATGATGGGTCACACATGGAACTCGTACTACTATCACCACGTCAAGCATCACCATGTTGAAGGCAACGGACCTAACGACCTTTCTTCTACGATTCGCTACCAGAGGGACAGCGTTTGGGACTTTGCGCAATACGTCGGTCGGTTCTACTTTCTGATCTGGCTCGATCTGCCGATGTACTTCATGCGTACTCGCAAGCCTAATTTGGCGCTTCAGGCTGCTGGATGCGAGATCGGCAACTACATCTTTCTGTACCTGATGTACAGCTTTGTCAACGCCCGTGCGACGACATTCGTGTTCTTGATCCCTCTCGCTTTCATGCGCTTGGCTTTGATGACCGGCAACTGGGGGCAACATGCTTTCGTAGACGAGGTCGAGCCGGACTCTGACTTCAGGTCGAGCATCACACTCATCGATGTACCCGTAAGTTTACATCCATCCGCTTTGGTCATCCTCGAACATTCCGCTTATGTCATGATAGAGCAACCGATACTGTTACAACGATGGCTACCACACCTCTCATCACCTCAACCCGCTCCGCCACTGGCGCGAGCACCCAGTTGCCTTCCTGTCGCAGAAGAAGCAGTACTCTGATGAACAAGCAATTGTCTTTTACAACATCGACTACTTCTTCCTCACAGTCAATCTGCTGAGAAAGAACTACGAGCACATCGCCAAGTGTCTCGTACCGATGGGCGACCAGATGAAACTTACGCTTGACGAGAAGGTCGAGATGTTGAAGCGCAAGACACGGAAGTTTACTGAGGAGGAGATCGCAGAGAAATGGGGCAAGCAGTATGCTAAGTTGAAGTAGAGGTAGATTGCAATGATAGGTAGATGTATATAAATCTTTTACGCATCCAGGAATCATCATCACCGCTCGGTGTCGATAACACGACAGATGTGAGGGCATCACGACATTCTGTCGCTCTTGCTCCATGAACCCACGTGCTAGCGTGCAGCACCTGCCCCGGCAGTATGTTTGCTCATCACATCATTCGATGTTGGAGCCGATCACTATTCATTGTCGCAACGACACCCTACACCCATCACTACTCCACTTCCAGCAATGGCGAATCCTGGGAGACTACCTTTCGATCAGAGCTTGTTCGTCGCGACACCCAACGCGATTTATTTGAGATCGCAGCTCGCCCGGAAGAAGCTGTTCGAGTGCGAAACCGCTAACGGCATAGTCAACGCTCGTGCATCAAAAGACAACAGTAGCCTCTTTGCTGTAGCAGACGGCCAGGTCGTGATACTACACGACGCCACTCGAAGCAGAGACAGGAAATACAAACTGAAGAACGGCGATGTGTGGCATGCTCACGGATAAGAACAGGTTCATGAACTGACACTAGCATAGGGCGAGCCACGTCTTCTTCTGTTCTCACCCGACTCGCGCATCCTCTACTTCACGACAACACTGAGCAACTCAGTTCAAGCATACTCTATAGCAAACGACGAGCTTCTGCCTTCCCTACCATCACATCCGTCTCCGCCGAACGCGATCGCAATATCCAGTAATGGCACCGTCCTCCTTTCAGCCTCTCCGAGCCCACCAACTATTTACCTCCAAGACCAACGATGGGGACGCAGCGCAGCGGTGAACTTTCGTCCGACAGACGCACGTTCGGCTGCTACGTGTGCTGCGTTCCAACAGCCAGACGGTCCTGCACAGCTGTCGTATACCAACTTCGTGATTGGATTTCAAGACGGGCTATTAGCGATGTACCGCCTGTTTCTACCTTCACTGCGAAAACGTTCCGAAGACTCGCGTGTACATCAACCGCAATTCTTCCAGTTACAGCCCATTCGAGTCGGCGTCATCAAAAAGCTTCATAAGCCGGCTATGGGTGGTATGCTGGCAGCGGAGTTCCTACCAGGCTACAAGTCGCGGGTTGTTAGCATTAGGCATGATGGGAAATGTCGACTTGTCGACTTTGAAGGAGGTGGGAAGATACTGCGGACATAGCATGTCTCCGGCCCGGCTACTTGTTTGTCTGTTTCAGCGCAAGGCCCAGTACGCTCGAAAGGTCGGGCAGATGGAGCGGTGTTGTTGAGTGGTGATGCGACAGAAGATGGTAGAGAGGTATATGAGGGCGTTGAGACTCTAATCGCAATCGGTACACAAGCGGGGAAAGTTCTCATTTTCAACATCCTGGGCCTACTGATACATGAAATTGCACTGGGCGTTTCTGTTACCGCGGTCGAATGGGTCGGCGACATGACGGCACCTTCTCTCCTTCCGATTCGCGGATCGTCACTGTCCCCCGAGCCTCCCTCTGTTGTTGATATTGTCGAAGCAGAGCAACCGACATCCTCAGATGAGGGGACAGGTACTGTCAAGAAGGTCGCATCGTCTCATAAGCAAGCTGTGACAAGGAAGCCAATCCCCATGCGATCTCCACCAGATCTGTTCTCGGATGAATCAAGAGAGCCAAAATCCAGAGTTCCTAGTCGGAGAACTTCAGATGTGTTGCGAGGCTCACCCCTACGCGTTGAGCGAGCGCGGGAAAGACCCGTAAAGAAGGCTTTGGTGCGACCGCGGATCTCCACTGAGACCTTTGATTCGCCTCCGGATCCTTCTTCTGGTGGCGTCCCTGATACCAAAGTCGCACATTCCTTTATCAGAGCCAATCCTCCGATTCAAGAAAGCCGACGATGGCAACAGGTACTTCCGGCGCCAAGTGTGCCAACGCCTTTGCGAGCACAAGCCTGCTCCGCCTCTCAAAGATCCGCCAGCTCGTCTCAGGAGTCAGAGATTTCAGATGAAGACCAGGAGTGGTTTACACCTCCGTCTACGCGAAGATGCAAAGGGAAAGCTCCACGACGTGATCTGAGCCCAGACTCATCTCTGATCACGCCAACCGTCACGTCCATACGCCCGATGCCCTTTATCAAAACCTCTCCTACTACGTTGGATACGCCTAGTAGAAACTACTCTCGTCCAATCTCCCGGAAAATGAAAGAACGATCTGGTACACATCAAGAAGCAATGATGGAAGGATCGAGAAGCTCAGTGATCGTACCGAAGGCCGCTGAACGCCATGTCACCATCCTCGACCCAGAATTATCATCGCCTCTCGATAGCCCGAGCAGTCTGTACTCGCGTGCCACCGCGCATATGTTCGAGAGACTCCCAGTAGGAAAGGCAAAAGAGCATAGTACTGACCAGCGACCTGCTCTCCCAGCTGGACCTAAGACTCAAGCCTTGAAACCCGCGCTTGTCAACGTCGATCCAGATTCAGTACTGTCCAGCAGTATATGCTCATCTTCAACTTCAACGCCAAGTAAAATCATAGACGCAACTTCCGAACGAAGATTCACCGACATTGCAGGCTCGAGCGAGTTGAAGACAACGCCGTATACTCCACCAAGCCGCGTAGTCGCCCCCATCGCGACAGGCTCTTCTTCGTCTTCGCTCGATATCATTTACTCTCTTCCATCCCGACCAAAGGTCGAGATTAATTTTGTGCAAAACCATAGCCCTCGCAATCTGGCGACTGCAATACATCGGCAGCTCACGCCGAGTTCGCTCGATACGCGGGCGGATTCCCCGAGCAGTGTGTACTCCCGCTCCATCTCCGGCATGGCTGGAGGTGCAAGCCATGCCAACGCTGTCATTGAAGATACCGATCAGTCAGCATCGTCATATGCGCCCATGACACCGCAACATCAACTTAGTATCCACGCCCTAGGCACCCCAATATCTACTAGCTCGCCGACTAGTCTCTACTCGCGGCCTACACCTCGTATGTTTCTCGACCGCTCACATGCTGTCGACGGGCCGCCTGCGGAGAAAGCGAAACACGACGGTGCAGGTGTTGTGACTGCCAAAGCAAGGACGGTAGCGGAGGAAATGACGTGTTTAGCTGAAGACCAAAGGACGCTGAGACAGGAAGTAGCGGCGTTGAGGGAGGAGTATCGCGTGCTCAAGGGTGTGTTGCTGAAGCCTAAGGTGTGAGGTGTGCGGGTGTTGTTGTACGGCGTTTCCTTCTCCTATCTCCTCATGTTCTTGCCCTTTCTTTTATCGCATCCTCGTAACGTAGCAAATAACACAACCAGTCCTCAAGCCATGCTTGAACCCCGTATTTCATGTTCAGTCATAACATCCTTCATCTTAAATCCATCCTCCCTGCCCCCAAACGCCCGTCCTCCTCTTCCCTTCCGCCCCGTTCCCACCACTACCTCCACTCATCAACTTCCTCTCCTCGTCTTCCGCGTAAATACTTCTCACACTGCCCCTAACACTGCTTCTCTTCCCGCCACTGCTTCCATACGCAGACCCAGCATGTCCTCCACCTCGCCGGGTGATCTGAGTATCCTGCTCGACAACCGCCTTCGCCATCTTCCACAGCATCCACGTCTGACACGATATCAACACCAGCACGAGTAAAAGGACGATGAGAATGGCGAATGCGATGAAGAGGAAAAGTACGGTTTCGTCGTCTCGAGGAGGAGGACCGGAAGGAGCGAAGCTCTTGCTACCCATGTTCGCTGGATTATACGTTTGCTTGCTGTACGATGCCGTCGGATGATGACGATGATGACGATGGTGATGGTGCAAGAAGGAAAAGGTTAGCCAAGGAGAACCATTGATTAAATGAGGTGCCTGGCTCGGGACTTTAGCAAGCACCGATGATGGGTTGGGCGCGGACCGATTTGAGGGCAACGTAACGCTGTTGCAGATCTGTTTCATGGATACGAGGACAGATCGGGAAGATCCATGCTGACAGTTCGCGTTCACTCGGGCCCACGCCAAGGTCTAGACCACCTACGGAAGCAAGGATGCGAAAGCAAGGGAGGGTTTTGGAGAATGATGGTATTGCTACTGTTATTGATGAACAAGATAATGAGAAAGCTGGTACTAGATACAAAAGAGGTCATTACACTACTTCTTTTCGCCGTTACCGTAACTGTGACCCAGTGACACCGTGCGCTATGCAATACAACCGCGATATCGTACCGCCGTTCTATCCTAACAAACAAAGCGATGAAGCCAAGCCGTTGAGTCGTGAGGTAGCAATGCCAGTGCCGGGTACTTTCATGACAAATGAAACAATCTGTTGCCCAAAGTGATGTGTCCAAAAAAGGTGTGAAGGAGAATAAGACAAGAAAGAAATACCGTCCTGCAGTGACAACAATAAGATAAACCCCAAATCTTCAAACGTCGTCATGCGAACCCAGATGGCAAGTCGCAGCAATCTATGCAGCAAGCGGCTCCTCTCCGTTAAGCTCGTCATCCTCAACGTTCTCATCAACGCCGAAGCCGGAATCCCACTGGCGCTTGGTCGTCTTCTTCTTGCCCTTCTTTCCGATCTTGACCTTTTCGCTGACCTTGGACACCTTGCCAGTGGCGACACGGTGAAGATCAACGCCTTGAGTCTTGACTTCAATGCGCTTGAGCTTCATCTCCTGGATGGCCTGGAGAGCGTCCTGGTTGCGGCGCTTAAGGTCGTCAGCAAGACGCTCGTTCTGCTCCTGAAGTTGACGTTGCGAGATGGTAAGGGCGTCGATGGTGGCACGTGTGTCCTCCTCAGCGAGGCGGAAGCGCTCCTTCATCTCTTCGATCTGAGCCTCAAGAAGTACAATGGTCTCGAGACGAGCTTCGCCAAGAAGACGCATCTCTGTGAGCTCGGTTGTGCGCTCCTCAATCATCTCTTCGTACTCTGTGCTGCGCTTCGCAGACGCGTCTTGAAGGCTCCTGATGGTGGCTTCTTGTGTCTTGATAACAGTGTTGAGGGAGTCGACTTCAGTGGCGTGAGCGCCGACGATGTTCAATAGCTCATTAGCCTCGGCCTCAACACGTCTTGAAAGGGAAAGGTTCTCCTTGCGGTAACCCTCGTTCTCGCCCTTCTGGAGAGCAAGCTCATCCTCAAGGCTGTCGATCTTGCCCTTGAGAGCGGTTGTGTCCTCCAGGTAGATGCGCTCCTTCTCAGTGACCTGGTCGAAGAGATCGTTGATCTCGGCTTGCTGTCGCTGGATCTGGTTGTTGAGGTCCGTGATGTTGGCCTGGAGCGACGTGATGGTGGAGTTGGTGGAATTCTCCAACGCGACATACTTGTTCTTCAGGTCATTGAGCTGCGTAGCGAGGTCGGCAACTTGAACGTCACGATCTTGCTCGAGCTGGTCGCGGGCGTCTGTCATGTCGGCCAGGTTGTTCTCCAGTGTCGCAAGATCGCTCTCAAGACCAATGATCTGCTGTTCCAGCTGGATGATGGTGTTCTCCTTTGTCTGACGGAGCTGGGACTCAGCAGCAAGCTGCTCGTTGAGATCCTGCTCGCGCTCATCGGCCTCTTCTTGAAGGTCAGCAATGGCGTTCTCCTTCTCCTGCTGGAGTTGGAACAGCTTGAGTCGCAGCTCATTAGCCTGGAGACCAGTGTCGTGAAGACGAGTGTTGAGATCTTCGATCTTGTCATTCGCCTCGTCGAGATCAGCTTCAGTCTTCTCGCGCTGAGCCCGCTCGGAAGCCAGGTTCTCGCGGGTATCGGCAAGCTGCTCCTTGAGTTCAATGATGGTCTCGTTCAGGTTCTCGATGGTGTTGGCGTGCTGGTACACCTGCTCGATTTGCTCGTCACGCTCGCCTTCGGCAGACTCGCGGGCGGCAGTCTGGGCAGCTAGACGTTCCCTCAGTGTAGCCATATCGGTGGTGATGTTATCAACATCGGTCTCCATGCGTGTGATGCTGTCCTCCAATTCCTCGATGTAGGTATTCTTTTGTGCGACATCAGCCTCTGCAGCATCGCGACCCTCCTGCTCGATGCCGAGTTCGGTCTCCAGAGCTTGAATGCGCTCGGTGTATTCCTGTTCCATGCGAGCGATCGTCTCGTGGTGGGTCGTCTCGAACTCCGCTGCGGTGACGGTAACGGTGTCAAGGTCGACGCGGTACTTCTCGAGATCTTCACGTAGTTGTGCCAAGGAGGTGTCCTTCTCTTCGTTCTCGTCTTGCAGGCCAGCGATGTGACCATCTTGCTCGGCAAGCTGGCGCTCTTGTTCGGCCGACAGTGTGGTCAAGGCAGCGTTGCGCTCCTCGAGATCAAGGATGACGCGCGCCTTGTCTTCGTTCGCCTTGTCGAGAGTGAATACTTCGGATTCAAGCTGCTTCACGCGCTCCTCTGAGTCGCCAAGCAAGTCCAGAACACCCTCGTACTGTCGTCGGAGAAGCACTTCGGTCTTCTGGGAGCTGTTGATAAGAGTGAGCTTCTGCTTGAGCTCGTAGAAGATACCACTGAAGAGTTCCGGGACCTTCTGAAGGAGCTGTTGGTTGGTAAGGCCGACAGTGGTACCGGGGAAGAACTTCTCGATTTCGGCGCGAAGGTCCTCGAATCCATGGCGCAACTCGGTGAGGATTTCGCGAGAGGAAGCACCAGCCTCGATGAAGCGGAGGTTCTGCAGCTCGATGGTAATTAAGCGCAGCGCACCTTGGGATTCGCCTAGGGCCTTGCTCATCTGCTTCAGCTCCCGCTCGTAGCGCTCGATAGCTTCGTCTTCGATCTTGTCCAGGATGATCTCCTCGCCTTCAGTCAGGCTGTCGCGGTTGAGCTGTGATACGGTCGGCAGAGACTCGAGTGTCATTTGGCTAGAGATCTCCAGTGCGCGGGAGGAGTACTCGCCGGTAGGGGTTGTCACCATGTCGAGATCCTGCGACATGTTCAGCTCCTCGGGGTTGACCATGACCAGACCATCCTCGTCGTCGGACAACTCAACTGGCTCGTTGTCGTCGCCGTTGTATAACGAGGACGCGCGCAGCTCGTCGATCTGCTGGCGGGCCTCGTCTAGCTCCACTTGCAGATCGTTGGCGTCTGCGTCTTCGAGGTCGATCTCGCCAAGTCGGCGGGCCTCCAGACGGTACTCGAGGTCCTTGATCTTGTCGTCCTGGGCCTTCAGCTGGCGACGTAGCTCCAAGAACATCTTCTTGTCCTTCTTCTGGTGGTCCTCGAAGTCGTTTACTTCTTGGCTCAAATGGCTGCGGCGAAGGCGGCGACGGGCGCGGCCGTCTAGGACTTGTGTGAGGGGCGCGAACTGGACGCGGTTGCCGTTGGTCTCATCGACCTCGTCGACGCGTTCAATGTGAAGCTGAGCTGGCATAGACATGCGAGAGCGGCGGGTATTGGTGAAGCGGCTGCGGGAGGCACCGACGCGGTCGAGATGGGGCGTCAGGCCAGGGAGGGGTTGTGTAGAGGCAGGGCGGTTGAACATGAGCTCGTCCTCGTCCTCGTCGACGGCGACAGGAGGCTCCGAGTGTCGGCGGTTGTAGCGGCGCGTGGTGGTGCTGCTCTGCTCGACATTGATGTTGTCTCCCTGTTGCGACCGCGAGAAGGACTGCTGGATCTCTTCGGCGATCTGGTCCTCGTCGTCGTCGGCCTGGACGCGCTTGCTGCGCTTCGTTTGCGAGAGCTCTGCCGAGGGCGACGCGGTTCGCTTTACGGCAGACGTCATATCGTCGGTGGGTGTCTGGTTCTTGGACGGGCGGCCGCGCTTGCGTCGAGGAGCGTCACCGGGACCCTCGTGGTGGTGCTCAGATGGTAGGCCACTGAGGCGCGCCATGGTTGAGCGATTGGGCAGTGTTCTGGCTGCGGGTACCTTCTGGATGCGGTATTAGACAACGGGAGCTTCCGGGCGGCGGCAGTGAATGGTCGCGACACGTGGTGCTGGAGCTACGTACCTGGCCAAAATTTCGTCAACAGAGCAAGATCGTCAATCGGCCCGTGGCTGGCAACCGCGAGTGTTGCAGTTGGTACAAGCGGAAGGAGCGGAAGGAGCGGAGGGCGCGGGTGTGGTGGGGTACGGGGAGAGACAGGGCCAAGTTTGTCTATATTCAAAAAATGGTTGACGGGCGCCTGTTGTGGTGGGCGAAATGGGGTGGTTGGGTGGAGGCTAGCACCTTTGCTACGTCAATGCGAGCTTGCGGTGAGTCGAGCCGCGAGTGGTCGAGCTTCCACGCTAACCCAGCCCTGACGTACA